AACATCATCAGGTGAAAAGGATAATCAAGAAGGTAAAGTCAAGGAAGTGACTGGCCATCCAGAATCTGAAGAGGAAGAAGAAGATGATTACTCTGAAGAGCAGTATCCTCCGGCTGACAGAAAATACAAACATCTTGAAGAACATCTAAGTGCAATGGAGATTCAGAAAGTGCCCGGGCTGGACTTTGAAGAGCTGGGTTTGGTGTCTGGGATTGTAATTCCACCAAAGTTCAAGGCACCAGTTTTTGCTAAGTACGACGGGGTTTCGTGTCCCAACATGCACCTTCGATCTTATGTGAGGAAGATACAGCCTCACACTACTGACAGAGATTTATGGATCCACTTTTTTCAGGATAGTCTATCCGGGACTCAGCTAGATTGGTTATATCAACTGGAAAGGGCCAATATCCATAATTGGGAAGACCTTGCCGCTGCTTTTTATAAACAGTATCAATACAACACAGACTTTGCTCCCACCCGTACTCAACTCCAAATTATGGCTATGGTATCAAGCGAAGGTTTCAAAGACTACGCTCAGAAATAGAGGGACTTAGCAGGAAGAGTCAAGCCTCCCCCGTCTGACAGGGAGATAGTAGACATGTTTTTGGGTACCCTATCTGGTCAATTCTTTAATCATCTAATTGGAAGCTCCTCGGCCAACTTCACTGAATTAATCTTGATCGGGGAAAGAGTGGAAGATGGGATTAAAAGTGGAAAGATCCAAAAGGACGCATCCTCCAGTGCCACGAGAAAACCATTTATTGGGAAGAAAGAGGTTGGTGTTGTGTACCCTCAAAGCAATCAGGACAAAACTGAACGCCTTCCAACGGTAGGGGCCGTCATGATCCCTAAGCCTGCACATACTCAACAAAGGAACAACCATCCTAGAACAGAAAGACCGGTAAGACAATTTACCCGGATAAATATGACACTGTCTCAAGTCCTGCCACATTTGTTGAGATCTAATCTTGTAACTTTGAAGGAAGCCCCTAAGAATCCCAACACCGCCTCTCCTTATTATAACCCTAATGATCACTGTGCTTACCATTCAGAAAGTCCAGGCCATGATACCAATAACTATTGGGCTTTGAAAAACAATGTGCAAGACCTTCTCGAGGCAAAAGAAATTGAATTTGATGCTCCTAAGATCCCAAATGTTATCACCGCTCCTATGCCCAAGAATGGCCGTGATGTTAACATTGTTGAAGATGATGTGTTAGTTACTATTATTGATGAACTTGTTACTCCTCTCCTGACTGTCAAGAGGAACCTATTGAAGGTCGGTTTATTTCCGAGCTATGGCGAAGGCTTCCACCTCTGTTTATCCCTACCAACTGGTTATCATTTATTAAGAGCAGGTGTCCAGCGCCTAATGGATGACAAAGAGATTTTGTTTGAGAAGACTCCCGTTCCCACCATTTCTTACAAAGATGTTTCAATAGTAACCATTTCTTCCAATCCTTCCAGGGTCTCCACCAAAAGACCCGTTAGGATTACATTTGCTCCAAAGGCGACTCCATTGATAATTACTATGCCAGGACCAATCATGTACTCATCAGATAAAACTGTCCCCTGGAACTATGGGGCTGACGTCTACTACCATGGCGTCAAGAAAGATTGGCTGGATGATGAAGACTCGATTTTTGAGAAGGCTGACCCCGACATTGGCAACATTGTGGGAACCAACAAAATAACCCGAAGTGGAAGAGTGTTCTCTCCTGAGATAGCTCCTCTGAAAACTGCTATCGGTCTTGTGATCATCCCTGCTTTTGTTCCTACTACTACAATTCCCGTGGTTACCCCTACTGATACCCCTATCACCGAGTCGACCGAGACTCGGGGCAAAGGAATTTTGGTTGAGCCTGCCCGGATGAAGACGCAAACAATATATATCCCAGAGGCCTCCAAGAAGGAGATGGAGGAAATTATGAAAATTATAAAGAGAAGCGACTACAACATAGTCGAACAGCTAGAGCAGACTCCGTCAAAGATCTCTATGCTAGCTTTACTGTTGTGCTCCGAGGCTCATGCGAAGGCCTTGGTAAAATTTCTCAAAACTGCCCATGTGCCACAGGAAACCTCTGCTGACCAATTCTAAGACTTTGTGGCCAATTTGACAGCTGACAACGGTTTAGGCTTTTCTGATGCTGACCTGACACCTAGAGGGAGGAAACACAACAAGGCGTTGCATGTCTCTGTCGAATGAAGGGACACTACTTTGGCCCATGTCCTTGTTGATACTGGTTCATCTTTGAATGTTCTACCTAAGAAGGCTCTTGACAGACTAGACTATGAAGGTCTGACCTTAAAACCCAACAACATAGTGGTAAGGGCCTTCGACGGTTCAAAGAGAATGGTGCATGGGGAAGTGGACATCTCCATTAAAGTTGGAACTCAAACCTTTGATTCAACTTTCTACGTGATGGACATTCGCCCTTCCTATTCCTGTTTATTAGGCCGACCTTGGATTCACGACGCTTGTGCCGTCACCTCTACATTACATCAGATGCTGAAATACCCAACCAAGGGAAAAATCATTATTGTCCACGGAGAGGAGGAATATATGGCCAGTCACTTGAACTCCTTCAGATAAGTAGAAATCGATGGTGAATTCATCGAAACTCCGTGTCAGCACTTCGAGGAAGTTACAAAAACAGTTACGGCAACTAAGACCGTTTCCCAAGTTCCAAAGATTACCAGACCTCCGCTAAAGATGACTTCTCTGAAAGATGCCAAGGCAGTAGACGAAGAAGGTGGGTGTACTATTTGGGGCCAGCTCCCAGACATTCCCTACAAGTCTGACAAATTTGGTTTGGGTTTCACTTCAGGAGCCCAGAAGGTTGTTCGTCGTGCTCGTGCTGGGGGATCACCTTTGCGGATCAGAAACCATGGAGTCAACGCAGTGGAGGATAGTGATGAAAACTGTGACCTGGAAGGACGGATTTTCCCAACTATCAACGGAGGACTCAACAACTGGGAAGCTAAGGAATTTGTCCCTATTACTTTTATCCAACAGTAATTGTCTTTAAATTTTTGTCGGACCTGTAATAATTAAAAAATTCAGACCTTTAAAGCCTTGTGTCTTACCCGAGGCACAACAGTCCATTTGTAAGGGTTATTACTTCATTTTCATATGTCATCAATGAATCATGGACGTTTTTGCATACAAACTTTACGCTCTTTGTTCTTCTTTTTCTACATTTTATTTTTTCAATGATAGCTATGCTCTTACACACACTCACATATCAAAATGCAGATCCACGTCCACTCAGGATCCCATGGGTAACAATTATGCTATGGCCTTTTGTGATTTTGAAAGTCTGATCTACCAAGCCGACGACGAAGGTGAGGAAGATTGTGAAGTTCCTGGGGAACTAGATAGGTTACTACAACAGGAAGAAAGGACCATACATCCCCATGAAGAATAGATTGACACAGTTAACTTAGGTACCGAAGAGGACAAGAAAGAAGTCAAGGTGGGTGCCAATCTGGAACCTAGTGTCAAGAAGCGCTTAACATAGTTACTATATGACTATGTTGAGGTCTTTTCCTGGTCATACGAAGAAATGGATTGGTTGGTATCTTTTTACCATGAAAAGAATTTTTGTATGATTAGCATTTCTTATATATTTGCCAAGAAAAAAAAAGAAGTTTTAGTTTTAAGTGCAATTATGAAAAAACGGGAAGAAAACATCTAAGGGATACTAACCTATCTCTAACCTAATGTTATCATACAATGAGGGATCCTATCTAAATTAGCATGCCAAAGAAAGTATAACATACTATCTTATAGGGAACATGCACTGAGAGCGAAGTCGTGATCTCAATTTCTAAATTGAGTGACTCATCGATCAATAAGAAATAAAGGAAAGCGATAAAATCCTATAGGGAGCATGCACTGAGAGCGAAGTCGTGATCTCAATTTCTAAATTGAGTGACTCATCGATCAACAAGAAATAAAGGAAAGCGATAAAATCCTATAGGGAGCATGCACTGAGAGCGAAGTCGTGATCTCAATTTCTAAATTGAGTGACTCATCAATCAACAAGAAAGAGAACAAACACAAGCACAGCACATATAAGAAATGAAGTGCGGAATGCCTGCTCCAGGTCTTTAAACAGCGAGTTCGAGCACACACTCTTTATATCCTACTTCTCATGATGTCTAGAAAGCAATAAAATACGGAAAAATAAATTAGAAGCAGTATAATACCAAACGAACAATGACGTCCGCAAAAAGCGCAACCAAAGTAAAGAAATCCGAGATACTTCGCGCAAGCTGGCATCAACAAACAAACAGTCAGAGATCGAATATTTGGAATAGGTGTCAAAACTTTGTCGATGTGAAAATAAATCACAATCGGAATCCAAAACACATCCGCATATCAAATAATGAACATGCATAAGACTCAGATCAACAAACAAAGGTGAATCGCAATTTTCAAGTAATTGAAAGATTATGAATTAATTTCCTAAAATCAAATAAAAAAAACTCTAACAAATTTTATTGATTTTTGTAATTTTTATCATGAAAAAATATAGGAAAAATTATAAGCAAAATCCTAAATCTTATAAGAAAATATGGATCAGGGATGTGCTAAATTGCAGCTGGCGGTGTGAGATAGCAAACAGGAACTAAGGCCCATCATTCCAGGTCCAATTGGCCATTTTTTGTTCAAACTAAAAAAAATGGTGAGTGTATGGGTTTAAGGTGAAACGTAAAGCAACCCAATATCATATCCTCACCCATTCAAATTTTTATTGAGTTTCATTTAAAATTGAAATAACAAAATAATAAAAGAGGAAAAAATAATTTGAAATAGGAAACAGTGCGTTTTGGATGCTCTAGGGTTAAATTGGGGACGGAGATTGAACTTAGTAAATAGACTTATTCTTCTCTGTGAACGATGGCGACTACTCTTCTCTAGCACCAATGGTGATCGCCTCCTCTCCATAACCGACGCTCACTCTCTTCTCTATAACATCTCGTCATGTTTCTCAATGTTCGTGCCCCTCTCAGCTATTGCAAATCATCACCTTTACCGTTTCGATCGCGACTCCATTTTCCTCTCGCTCTCTTCATTGAATCCACTGAACAAAAAAAACATGCACTATGCTAGAGGAAGGAATTGGAGAGTGTTACCTACCGAGGAACTCCGAAGGCTCTTCAGAGCGACGAATACGATGAGAAAGCCAGAGAGAAATCTTCAGATCACTAGGTACCAATTATTTATTTTAAATTCACGTTATCTCTGTATCTCACCTTCTTCATCTTTCTTCTTCGACTCCGTGTTTTCTGCCTTCTGTTACAGGAAGTTGTTGTAGCGTATAGATCTTGAAGGTTGAAGATAGATGGAATATAAGAGATGAATGTTCTGGTTATGGTGGTGAAGTGTTGAAGTAATGATGAACGTTGCATAGAGAAGATGAGTGAGTTTTCTGTGGAGTTTTTTTTGCGATGATTCTTCAAGTGTTAAAGAATTAAGAAATGTGTAGATTGAATGGTTCTGGGAGAGTTACGATGGAGCTAATGAAGTGGAATCAAAAAGAAAAGAGTGCAGTGAAAATGAAGATTCTTTGGGTGAGTTTTTCTCGTCCCCCCATCCCCCTCTCTCTCTCTCTTTCTGTTATATCTCTTGGAAGTTTGTTAGAGGGTGAGTTAGAGGATAGAAAGTTGGTTAGGAATCTGTTAGAAGTTTGGAGTTGTTAGCCCTTTCTGTTAAAGGTTGTTGGATTCTCTTTATTCTGTTTTGAATTTTCCGTCCTCTTTTCCAAACTTCCTCCTACCCTTTTTATTATGTTGTTGACAGTTAGCTTTTTTCTGTTAGAATAGTTGCCTTTTTCCTGATGTTCCTTCTGTTTGATTATTTTTGGTATGCTATTGACCACTGATGGAAGAGCCATAAGGCAAAATGATGAAGACGGTTTTCTTTCAGAATGAAATGCGACAATGTTGTAACGAGTAAAGCTGAGACAATGACGAGTCCCTTCCGAACGCCGCCAGCATGACCTCTGACAATTGACATTTTCTACAGTCATTAGGTATGATTAGTGTTACTTAATTTGAGAAGCCCATTAACACAGGGCAGAAGTCAGTCCAGATAGCACAGAAGCAATTTAGTATATGAACTATTCTATTGAATTAAACTCAATCAGCATTAGTACTAGTAGAATATTTGTTAGAGCCTTCACCAATACTTAGTAAAATTGTTGCAGCTTAATAACAAGAACAAGGCTCCAATTTGTTGAATTGCTTGTTTTTGCCTCAATTATGCAGTGAAAAATATTTTGTCTGATTTTTATTACTGCAGGCTACGGGTCTGTGTCGGAATTTTAACTTATCCTGTTGAATTGAATGAGCAGGGCTATATCACAATTTGTACGGTTTGATCCAATGGTCCATGGTGCAAAGCTGAAACTTAGCATAGTATAACAAGATGCATTGAATTTGGAGGCATGGAGTTTGACACGAAGCTCATAGAATTAGGACATTCATTAACTTGCAACATTTTCATGGTTTTCTTTTAAATGTGACACAGGTGATATGATTGGTTTTTGGATGTAATTGAATTTTGGTTTATGGACTTTGATGTAATATATTCATAAGTTGGATTGAAATTGTCACTTTTATGTAATTTTGAATGGTTGAAAGTGTATATGTTCTAGTTCTTGATTTTGTAATAGCCATGGTTGAATCAAGAAAAGAGACTTTGAATTAATTCACTTGTCTTTGAATTTATTCTCTTATGCTTACATCTTCTCAAAATGTATCTTGAATGAATCGCGATCCCTTCTTTAACCTCAAGTTCAAAATATTCTTTTTGTATTTCAAACATAATCCAAATTCTAAGCAAAGCCAATTGATGAATCACTTATATTATGAGTACAAGAAAACCAGGAAAATTATCCACAAGTCCTGTAACATCTCTCGCATATATCTTGTTCTTCAAGCAAGTTAAATGATTTATCCTTGAATCACATTAGAAACTTCTATTCCATGTTTATCTTAAATCGATCCTCAATGCAACTCAAGCGTTCATGACAAGTTGAAACTCAGTTGACTTCAAATGGCGTGCTTGGTCAATGAACCTTAGTCTCAATTGAATCCATAAATTCTAGTCATCTTGCATTTGAAACAACCATCTTTCATTTGATAAAATGAGCTAAATAAGCTCCTGACCCCCAACTTAATTAACAAGGCATGTCTGGACTTGATAAAAAACCCAAAGCAATCCTTAATCGCTTGTCAAAGAAGAAAATTTTGATTCAACCCCTTAGGCCTCTTGGGAAGAAGTCGACTTATAAAGCTAGTAGCCCTTAGATGATGACGAACCTTCAATAAAGGAAGAGTAGTGCTCAATGAAGCCTTGAAGTGAGACTTTAGGCCGATAAACCTCCATTGAAGAACCACTACCAAGCTCGAACAAAATGAAGAGAAACCCTGATTCTCTTGACCTAGTATAGGGAAGTAAACCATAATCTCTGGCATTGATAAAATTGAAGGGATAATAGCCCTTGAAGTTTGATGAAGAAAGAAATTCTTAATGACCCATATCAAAACCCTAATGCCAAAGCACTTTGATCTTATAACCACGAGACCAATGCTATGTGCGAAATGTACAAAGTGTGACGAGGGATCTTAGGGGCAAAAATTGGGGTACAACATGAGGCACTTTCGGTTACAAGGTTATGCCATTCGGGTTGAAAAACGCTGGGGAAACTTATCAGTGCACCATGGTAGCTCTATTTCACGACATGATCCATCACAAAATAGAGGTCTATATGGACGACATGATCCATCACAAAATAGAGGTCTATATGGACGACATGATAGCCAGATCTCAATCTGAAGAGGAACATCTTGACCATTTGCAGAAACTATTTGAAAGTCTAAAGAAATACAAGCTAAGGTTGAACTCGAATAAATGCACATTTTGGGTGAGGTCCGGTAAACTCCCAGGCTTCATCGTCAGCGGTAAAGGTATCGAAGTGGACCCTGCCAAGGTGAAAGCAATACAAGAAATGCCTGCTCCTCGCACCGAGAAGGAAGTTAGAGGATTGTTAGGACGGCTAAACTACATCGCTAGATTCATTTCTCACTTAACTGCTACTTGTGAACCAATCTTTAAATTACTGAAGAAAGATCAAGTAGTCAATTGGAATGATAAATGCCAAGCTGCCTTCGACAAGATCAAAGAGTACCTTCAAGAGCCTCCTGTTTTGATGCTGCCGGTTGAGGGAAGACCTTTGGTCATGTATCAATGGGGTGTGTGCTGGGGAAACATGACGAGTCTGGCCGAAAAGAGCATGCAATATACTACCTGAGCAAAAAGTTTACCGATTGTGAAACCATATATTCACTGCTCGAGAAAACTTGTTGCACTCTGGCATGGGCTGCTCTCCGGCTAAGACAATATATGTTGACCCATACTAACTTGTTGATATCCAAGATGGATCTAATTAAATACATATTCGAGAAGCCTGCCCTCTCTGGAAGAATAGCAAGGTGGCAGATGATCTTGACTGAATATGACATTTAGTACACTACACAAAAAGCAATAAAGGGAAGTGTGCTAGCCGATCACCTTGCTCATCAAGATGTGGATGACTATCAGTTCATGAAATTCGAGTTTCCAGATAAGGACATCATGATGGTAAACAATTGTGAAGAACTCAGACCATATGACGGACCTGAACAAGGATCCCGATGGACTTTGGTTTTTGACGGAGCCTCTAACGCACTCGGAAATGGCATAGGTGCTGTAATTATATCCCCTGAAGGATGTCATACTCCCTTCACTGCAAGACTTTGTTTCAATTGTACCAATAACATGGCAGAATATGAAGCGTGTATTTTTGGTCTCAAAGCTGCCATAGATTTGGGAATCAAATCCTTAAGTGTATTTGGAGATTCAGCCTTAGTCATCAGTCAGATCAAAGGAGAATGGGACACGAAGAACCCTAATCTCATCCCCTACAAAGAACATGTGTTGACATTAATCTAATATTTTGAGGAGATTACCTTTGAGCATTTACCACGAGAGGAAAATCAACTAGCGGACGCACTAGTCACTATGTCATCCATGTTTAAACTCAAGTAGTGTAACGAGGCTCCCCAGATCACCATTGAGTGGATGGATGAACCAGCTTACTGTCATGAGATCGAAGCTAAAGAGGTAGTGGATAAGCCTTGGTTCCATGAAGTTAAGAGGTATCTCGAAGCCCAAGAGTATCCGGAGGGAGCTTCAGTCAATGATAAGAAGTTCTTGAGAAGATTCTCTGCTAAGTTCTTCCTCAATAATGGCATTCTCTACAAACACAACCACGACTCTGTTTTTCTTCGTTGCATAGACATGGTTGAGGCAGAAAAGATCATGGCTGATCTACATGAAGGCACTTTTGGCACACATTCTAGTGGGCACACGATGGCTAAAAAGATCCTACGGGCGGGGTACTACTGGTCTACCATGGAAGCAGATTGCTATCAGCATTCACGAACCTGTCACAAGTGTCAAATCTATGCTGACAAAGTACATGTGCCCCCAGTTCCTCTAAACGTTCTGATTGCTCCCTGGCCATTTGCAATGTGGGGCATCGATATGATTGGAGATGTCAAACCTACAACTTCTAATGGACACCGCTTCATCTTGGTCGCCATTGACTACTTCACAAAGTGGGTTGAGCGACTTCTTTCGCTCCTGTTACCAAGAATGTTGTGGCCTGATTCATCAAGCAGAATCTCATCTGTCGATACGGTATCCCAGAGAGAATCATCACAGACAATGGTACAAATCTCAACAATACTATGATCACCGCACTATGCCCGCAATTCAAGATCCAACATCATAATTCTTCTCCTTATCGGCCAAAGATGAATGGTGTTGTCGAAGCCGCAAATAAAAACATCAAGAAGATCATACAAAAAATGACAGTGACTTACAAGGACTGGCATGAGATGTTACCATTCGCTCTCCACGGTTATCGTACCACGACGCGCATATCAACAAGGGCAACTCCCTTCTCCTTGGTATACGGCATGGAAGATGTTCAACCAATTGAAGTCCAAATACCTTCCCTGAGAATCATAAAGGATGCAGGACTGAATGAAGATGAATGGATTCAAACTCGGCTTGACCAGTTGAACTTAGTTGATGAAAATAGGCTTACGGCTGTCTTTCATGGCCAGATGTACCAAAAACGTATGATCAAAGATTTTAACAAGAAGGTCAGACGTCAGGTATATCAGGTTGGTGATTTGGTAATCAAGCGTATCACATTGCCACAAGGTGATGAAGGAAAATTGCGATCAAAAGCGCAGCGGAATTTAAAATTTTCCTTTAGCGATCCTTACGAATGAACATGGTCAGTGATAGAAATGTTTACCTCTTGTGGCGATTCAGACCTTTGATGTTATGATCACGAGCGTTGATGAAGAACAACACCTCTACTCAGTCCACACGAACAGATCGCTTCCGGTCACAGTGCTAGCTGATCACGAACAGAAACCTTGAGTGAGAGAGAGAATCAAAAACGAAATTGCATCAAGTGAAATTGCTTCATCACAAGGGATCTATTTATAGAATCACTCGTGTGGGCTACAAGCTAAAAGCCCAATTAAGGCTATAAGCTAAAAGCCCAATTAAGCTTATGGACATCATACCTTATGATGTACCATATATCACTTATCTACGTGGTACCTTACCACTTTCCGTATTACACTTAAGTGCACCGTACCTTACGATGTTCCTTATTTATTCTATCTCTCATCAACCTGTCCTTATGTGTGTGACCCTGTAGGTTTTCGCGACGTTGGCAATTATATTAAATCACACATTTAATATAATAAATAGTGAGCGGTATCTAGCAACACATCACTGTTACCCAAGTCACGAAAATGTCATGTGATCTGACCAAACCTTTTCCGTGATAATATTTGTGTTGTACAATTACCCTTTTTCCCTCATGTCTATATTGAACACAAGGCATACACTGTGTCACCCTTGTCCAGTTCAATATTGGGCCCTTAGACATTTATCCTGTTATGCAGGATGAGCAAATTCCATCTAGGTCACTCATGTCCCTTAGCATGCTTTGTGAAGTACCCATCAACCGTCTTTATAGTCATCCAGTTACGGATGACGTTTGATCAGCAATAAAGTACTTGACTCTACATCTAGGGTCCATAGTGGTTTCAGGTTGAAGGGTGGTATACACCATTATCATCATGAGAATAACTTATGACACTTTGCATAACATTCTATGTAGTATTCTCATAGCGGGTCAATCCAGTATAAATATTACTCCTAATATTCATACCTATGTCAAGACTTGATAACTCCTTATCTATGATCCATGAGATGTGATCATCAATCTATCTTCATAATAATCTTAATGCTTTAATGTTATCCCACTTCACATTAAAGCTTGACTACGGATACTTTAAGAATAATGCCTTATGTTTAATGGGATCTCATGATTAAGTCACACTTAACATTTCATTAAACAAATAAACCATTCTAGGGACTTTATTATTTTGGAAAGCAAACATAATAAAGAAATGCCTTTTATTATTAATAAATAATTCGATACAAGTACCAAAAGTATTGGCCTCTAGGGCTTACACCAACAATCTCCCACTAGCACTAGAGCCAATCAGGCATACCCCTAATACCCATAGATATAGTATGTCCATCATGCTTCAGCTGCGCAAGAGGCTTTGTTAATGGGTCAGCAACATTGTCAAGTGTAGGTACTCTGCATATTTTCACATCTCCCCGATCGATTATCTCTCGAATGAGATGATAACGCCTAAGTATGTGTTTGGATCGTTGGTGAGATCTAGGCTCCTTAGCTTGTGCGATAGCACCATTGTTATCACAATAGAGATCAATGGGATCCACAATGCTATGGACTATGATAAGTTCACTAATGAACTTCTTGATCCAAACAGCTTCCTTTGCTGCAGTTGACGCAGCAATATACTCAGCCTCGGTTGTAGAATCAGCAATTGTATCTTGCTTTGAACTTTTCCAGCTCACAGCGCCACCATTTAAACAAAACACATAACCAGATTGCGATCTAAAGTCATCCTTATCTGTCTGGAAGCTAGCATCGGTGTATCCAATTACAGCAAGCTCTTCCTGACCTCCATATATCAAGAATGAGTCCTTAGTCCTTCTCAAGTACTTAAGGATATTCTTGACAGCTACCCAATGAGCATCACCGGGATTAGACTGGTACCTACTCGTTGCACTTAAAGAATACGAGACATCTGGTCGAGTACATAGCATGGCATACATGATAGATCCTATTGCAGATGCATATGGAATCTTATCCATGCAATCCCTTTCTTCCTTACTTGAAGGGGATTGTGTTTTTGACAGACACATGCCATGTTGCATAGGTATGAATTCTTTCTTGGAATCATGCATATTAAAGCGTCTCAACACCTTTTCTATGTATGTACTCTGACTTAGGCCAAGCAGTTTTTGTGACCTATCTCTATAGATCCTGATTCCTAATATATAGGCTGCTTCACCTAGGTCCTTCATTGAAAAGCATTTCCCTAACCAAGTCTTCACTTGTTGCAAGGTAGGGACATCGTTTCCAATGAGTAATATGTCATCTACATATAATACCAGGAATACGATCATGCTCCCACTAACCTTCTTGTAGACACAAGGCTCATCTTCATTCTTGATGAATCCATATTGTTTTACTGTTTCATCAAAACGAAGATTCCAGCTTCTGGAAGCTTGCTTCAATCCATAAATTGATCGCTGTAACTTACATATCTTTTGGGCTTCTTCTGGTATGTAAAATCCTTCAGGTTGTGTCATGTACACATCCTCAAGAAGATTCCCATTAAGGAAAGCAGTTTTGACATCCATCTGCCATATTTCATAATCATGATATGCAGCGATAGCAAGTAAAATCCGAACAGATTTAAGCATTGCTACTGGTGAAAAGGTTTCATCATAGTCAACCCCATGAATTTGTTTATAGCCTTTTACAACCAGTCTTGCCTTATAGGTATGTACCTTACCATCCATGTCAGTCTTCTTTTTGAAGACCCACTTGCATCTTATAGGGTTAACTCCTATAGGAGGATCTACCAAGGTCCAAACCTGGTTTGTGTACATGGAATCCATTTCAGATTTCATGGCTTCTAGCCACTTCTAGGACTCAGGACCAGTTATGGCCTCTTGGTAGGTCACAGGCTCATCTTGATCCATGAGTAATACATCACCCTGATCACTTATGAGATGTCCATATCTCTCAGGTTGTTGACGTATCCTTCTTGACATACGCTGGTCTTGTTCTACTTGAGCAGGTTGCTCTTCCACAACTACTTGTGTTTCCTGCTCTAATTCCTCCATAGGTGTATCAATGCTTTGTGGTTCTTGAATTTCTTCAAGATCTATTTTCCTCCCACTGATTCTTTTGGAAATAAAATCCTTTTCCAGAAAAACTCCAGTTCGAGCGACAAACACTTTTCCCTCAGAAGGATTGTAGAAGTAATACCCTCTTGTTTCTTTAGGATACCCCACAAATAAGCATTTGTCAGATTTGAGCTCAAGCTTAGTTGAAATTTATCGTTTCACATAAACTTCGCAACCCCAAATCTCCATGTAAGACATATGTGGTTTCTTACCACTCCATATCTCATATGGTGTCTTCTCAACCTTTTTGGATGGAACCCGGTTAAGTGTGTAAGCTGCAGTCAATAGTGCATGTCCCCAAAAGGAGTTCGGAAGATCGACATGACTCATCATGGATCGGACCATGTCTAACAAGGTTCTATTTCTTCTCTCAGATACACCATTCCATTATGGTGTTCCGGGAGGAGTAAGTTGGGATAAAATCCCACATTCCTTTAGATGGTCATCAAACTCTAGGCTTAAATATTCACCGCATCGATCTGATCGAAGAACTTTTATATTCTTACCTAGTTGGTTTTGTACTTCATTCTTGAATTCCTTGAATTTTTCAAAGGTTTCAGATTTGTGTCTCATTAAATACACATAACCATATCTACTGAAATCATCAGTAAATGTGATGAAGTATTGAAAACCTCCTCTGGCTGGTATGTTCAGTGGTCCATATACATCAGTATGTATGAGGGCCAAAAGATCATTAGCCCTTTCACCTTTTCCTGTGAATGGGGACTTTGTCATCTTTCCAATTAAACAAGATCTGCATGTCTCATATGATTCATAATCAAAAGAGTCCAAGAGTCCATCTTTATGGAGTTTGGAAATGCGTTTCTCATTTATGTGGCATAAGCGACAGTGCCAAAGGTAGCTTGGATTTAACTCATTAGGTTTAATCCGTTTAGTATTAATGTTATAAATTGGCATTTCAAGATCAAGGACATATAGTCCATTGTTCATTTGTGCAGAAGCATAGAATATATCATTCAAATAAATAGAGCAACAATTGTTCTTTATTATAACTGAAAAACCAAACTTGTCCAAACAAGAAACGGAAATAATATTCCTACTAATTGCAGGTACATAATAACAATTCTCTAACTGAATTATTAAACCACTAGGTAAAGTCAAAACATAAGTTCCTACGGCTAAAGCAACAACCTTTGCTCCATTTCCAACTCGTAGGTCAACTTCACCTTTTGCCAAATCTCTACTCCTTTTTAGCCCCTGCACATTAGTACAAATGTGAGAACTGCATCCAGTATCTAATATCCATGATGCAGAAGTAGATAAATTAATTTCAATAACAAAAATACCTAAATTTGAAGTCCCTACTCCATTGTTCATATCTTCCAGGTACTTTGGGCAGTTTCTCTTCCAATGTCCGGTCTTACCGCAATGGAAGCAAGTGCCCTCCTTTGCTATGCCTCCACTGGGCTTCAAAGCAGGAACAGTAGGTTTAGGCTTGGCAACTTCCTTGCTTTTCCCTTTACCAACCTGCTTGGTAGGCCTCTTGTTCAGCTTCTTTCCATTACTGACCATCAGAATGGACTTCCCTTTTGTCTTCATATTCTGCTCAGCAGTTTTCAACATGCTTAGCAATTCTGGAAGACTCTTATCCATGTCATTCATGTTGAAATTCATGACAAACTGATTAAAGCTATCTGGCAACGATTGCAAGATAAAATCAGTTGCAAGTTCCTTTCCAAGCGGAAACCCTAACCTTTCAAGGTTCTCCACATACCCAATCATTTTGAGTACATGGGGACCTACAGGGATTCCCTCAGATAACTTGCTGTTAAAAAGGGCCTTTGAAACCTGAAACCTCTCATTTCTTTCCTGCTCTTGATAGAGAATTTTCAGATGTCCGATCATATCAAACGCTGACATGTTCTCGTGTTGCTTTTGCAACTCCGAGTTCATAGTAGCTAGCATGAGACAAGCGGCTTCGTTAACATCATCAAAATGCTTCTTATAAGCATCTCTTTCTGCCTTAGGTGCCGAACTAGGCGGTTCCTCTTCAGGAACAGGTGTCTCCAAGACATACAACTTCTTATCGTGCTTGAGGACAATCCTCAGATTTCGGTGCCAATCCAGGAAATTTGTCCCAGACAATTTTTCCTTATCTAGGATTGATCGCAAAATATGGTTGTTTGTTGTCATGGTAATCTACAAAAAAAAATGAAAATATAAGTATCATTAAAACAACATATTTAATTAGGCCTTTAATCAAATATGCTCCCACTATTTTACTCAAACCAAATTACCCTCATCATTTGATTCGGAAAATCCCGTTGGAAGACTTTCTAGTGGGTCGAGATCCACATTTCACTTAGTTCTAAGTCAGTGTTAGGCTGATTACACAAAACTAGGTTATTTAGGTAGGAACTCCTTCCAATTGTATCTCATACAACTCTCGAATATTTTCAGTTGGGTGAATAACTCCTTATTCTAATTCATCATATGAATCATTCCCAACTCTTGCTTCTAAACATGTATAATCTTATTATAACGTGTTTAGTTAATTTTGACCCATTGTTTTAGCAGTTGGATATTACAATTATCCCATCGCACCTTACTAATATAGAACATGCACCTCGCGTAGGCGAAACCTACATTGTTCGATACTAGTCTTGATGAGTGCTAAAACTTGGAAAGCATGAACTTAATATTTAACTTGAGGGATTTTGTTATTAGTTTGATCTCACCGGCT